GAGTTATTGATCTCAAAAATGGAAAGTTAGAATACTCGAAAATATTTTTTAAAAAAAAATTTAGCAAACTGCATACATACATACATTAAAGAAAATCGTTGATGAGACATTTTTTTTCTTCATTTATTAAGCAAATATTTTATCTTTCAAACTACGAAACAATGCTTTTAGAAACACCCTTTATAGCACTCATTTCAAACCCACGATGTAGAGAACAAAGGCGGCGCCGTCAGTGGTACCGCTACTCAAGTAAAATTAAACGCCACCTCAGAAACACGGTTGCCAGACTTGGTACTTTGGTACAAGAAGGGGTATATTTTTTCATCGATGGTACTTTGGTACAGGGTTCCATAAAATGGTACCATTTTAATCTAATCAATAATTTGTAGTTTTATTTTATTTCATGACTGCTTTAAACTTAATCTTTAAAACGTACAATATGTATATAATTCAAAAATTTTCATTTTGTGTGACGAAGTTTGATTGATTGCGTTTTCCCAAGAATCAAAAATTTTTAATTGGATCTCTTAATTAGTAAAGTTCCAACATCTTTAGTAAAAATTTATTTCATAAATATGTAATGTAATTATTTATTTTGCGTTGTAACGGTGGTGTTGCAAATTTTTGTCTTTGGATTTTAGTTCCATTCTCAATATTAATAGCAAATTTCGAAATGATAATATTTCTGTTTTTTCCCGTATCACCAACCGATATCAACTTGAAGTTGTTTTTTTTATTTTTATACCTATATGTATATTTACTTTTATAAAAAATAAACTGAAAATTTATTATTAGTTTCAAGCAAATAAAATGATATGTACGCAAACATTGTACAGTTTTTGAGTAAAATAGTAAAAATGTTACATTTTAATCGAAATCGGCTTTGTTTTTTTTTACTTGAGCAACGTCATCGCCACCAGCACGGCGCAATCTAATTTCAAACCTCTGTTTTAATTTTAAACATCCTCTCCGGAAAACTCACATATGGCAACACTCCGGAAATGCATCGTTCCGCCCGCCATCAAATGTCAGTTCTTGCGGAAATATGTAAGTTCGTATCAGCTCCATCGAAAAGAACGTTAGCATTAGCATCTTAAATTTAAATGCATAAATAAAGCATCTAATTCGAGTCTATAAAAATTTGGTAAAATGTCGAAAGGAAACTTAGAACAAAAAAAGAAATTAATTTCACAAAACTCTGAATAGCGCTTTAGATGCTTGGTAGCACCATAAATTATTTCAGACCTCGAACCTATGTTTGTATTAAAAAAAAAAAAAAAAACANCTGTACTCGTAGCAAGTATAAGTTTTGGCTTCAATTTAAAGTTAAAGTTATTTACTTCACACGCGTACATAATCGTTTTTATATGTACTTGTATACCCTTTATACATACATATACATACATACATGCATCGTGTTATACACACATAAATACTTCATTTGGCAGTGAACCTGAGCTTTCTCTTTTAATTCGGTGATCAACTCTAATTTACAAAATCGCGTTCACCCATACAGACATTCAAATGATTTACAATGACTAATTATTTTGTAATTCAAATCAATATACTACATTATAATAGATTACACAAACTTGCTTAGCAATAACATAAAAAAGCGTTTTCCAAAGTAATTGTCTGATAATTCTACGAAATGATTTCATCAAAGCTGGACAATTTGTCTCCAAAGATTTGTGCTGTGGTTCAAAAACTGATTTATTATTATTTTTTTTTTTTTATTAAAAGCACACTTTTGGTAAATTGGTAGTATGCTCATCGGGAAAATAACGCTATTTTTACTGGGCCTCTTTCTTTGTCATTAAAGTGTTAGGGTTTGACTTAAAAAATTTCACGCTTAAAAAAGTAACCAAAAATGTAAGTAAATTTCTTATTTCTCAAAGCTGAGTGCTTGTAATCTAGTCTGTTATTTTAATCTTGCAAATAAATTGCGTACATACAAGTGTATTTTAAGCATTAAATATATAAATATGTATGAAGTTTGTGAGATGACTTTTTTGATGAACACAATTAAGATTTTTTTTGTTTTTGTTTTACTTCAGAGCCTATTTCTACCACCATACTGTATAAATACAGTCATATACAATAATCTTCTGGCAACGTCAGCTTTGCCTCACATACAAATTAAAGTTATTTATTTGATTCTTTATTTTTATTTTATTTTTCGCGAATTTCTTTTGGTTTGAGATTTCTTCTTGTTCTGTGTTGTCTTGCTTTTACTTTGCCTTAATTTTAATGCGACTATAATTTCTGTAATCTAGTATTAGACTTAGCTTGTATGAATATTTTTTGGTTATACTACACTTTTGTTTTTATTTTCACTTTGTTTCGTGTTTACTATGTAACCGATTAAAATCTAATGTGTTATTTATATTATGCAACTTGATACAAAAGTTTTTTTAATTTAAATTATCATTTGTGCTTAGTAATAAATAAGGTTAAATACAATTAAAGTAAATTAACTAAATTGATTTTCTGATAAAGAAAATAAAATCAAATAAGATCAATAAATTTAAAAAATATTATATACTTGTAGAGAGCTAAACGCTAATATCAACTGAATTATGTTTTAGTTTTTTTTTTGTTTTAACTAAATTTATAATTTATATATTCGTTTTTTGCGTGGAATTACACATAAAAAACTAAAGTAACAAACGCGCCAGCGCAGCTAATTTACAGCGTCTTTGCACGATCAAGTAAATCACTTATGAATTTCTGGAAAAGAATAAAACAAACGTCAATACAATATTAAAGCTTCAAATATTTGTTTACAATAAACAGCTTACCGATATGTCCGACTGTGGGCGTTTGCAGACCGAAAGGAGCCGCTAAAAGAGAAAAGAATATTTAAAAATTAAGGGACTCGCATTGTGTGTAATGAGTCGTATTGTCATAATATCGTAAATTTTGCAATGAACAAATTCATGGCAATACAATAGTGTTTTTAAAAATATTGAAAGTGGTTAAAGAACTACAAAAAATTAACCATAAATGAGTAAACTAAGTGAATACAATAAACTAAAACCCAATTAAATAAGTGAAAAAATATATTTTTAATTGCATATTTTACTTGTTTATGGCGCATAGTTTTGAATTTTGAGTGCATGAGATTCCGAGCCGTAATCATTACAAAGGAATTTTAATATGCATATGATATGATATGATTTTTATACATTAATAAGCAGCTTTACAGGGCAATTCTGGCAAATGTCTTTCAACTCATCACAGTTTTTCGAAAGATAAAAGATAAATTAAATTAGAAAAAGAAAAGAATTAAATAAAAAAAGAAAATAACACTTAAAAATTAAATTAAATAAAAAAATTATAATTTTTAGAACTAATTCTAAAAAATAAAATTTGAAAAAGACAAAAATAAGATTAAATAAAAAAATATAATAAGATCCCCAAAACTAAATGAAATAAAAGAAAATATATTTTTCTTTTCAAAACAATAAAATCTAAAACCAACTCTTGTTGGTTAAATGGCAACAAATAAAAAATATTTAATTAAAAAATAAAACACGTTTCTAAAAACCTTATGAAATTAAAAAAAAAAATCTTTTTCTTTTCAAAGCAAAAATGTCATAAAAAAATAAATAAAAGAAGATTCTAAAAATTAAATTAAAGTAAAAAATATAATTTAGTGTTTTGCCGGCTCGAGGTCAATTTTAAAAAATTCTTTTATGAAAACACAAGTTTTTTGGAATTTTTTAAAATTGACCTCGAGCCGGCAAAACACTAAATTATAAGTAGAAAGGTCGCTAAAACCATCAGTATAGTAAAAAATATATATTTTTCTCTGTAAGAAAATGAAATGTTATAATTAAAGGAAAATTAAATTCATCAACATTCATATAATAGACAACAGGGCCTCGGGGGGTAAGTAAAAAAGTGCCCGCCCCACTACAGATTAATTTTCAATTTTTTAACGAATCTCTAACGATTTCTACTCCATACTTGTTCCGTGCTATTTGCGTAGTATGTGGAGTATGATTTTTTCGTTAAAAAACTTCGTCTAAAGAGAGAATTGTTTTTTCGGTACAGATCAATTGAATGCGTAAAATAGTTTTTCGTGTTTTAGTCTGCGTTCTGAAATTTAAAAATTTAACTTTTTATATGAATATTAAATAATAAAATTTATCAACTATAACCGCTGTGGTGTAGTGGTAAGCAGTGCGCGCTTTCCCTCATCAGCACCTGGGTTCAAACCCTGGTCAAAGCAACATCGCAAAAAATATAGAAAAAGGTTTTTTCTTAACAGCGGTCGTCCCTCGGCAGGCAATGGCAAACCTCCGAGTATATTTCTGCCATGAAAAACAGGTTCTCATGAAAATACAATCGCCGTTCGGAGTCGGCGTAAAACGGTAGGTCCCTCCGCTTTGTTTGACAACATCAAGGCGCACGCCACAAGTCGGAGGAGAAGCTCGGCCAAACACTAACATATGTGTAAGCGCCAATCTATTATTATTATTATTATTATAAAAACTATTATAACTTTTATTTTCCAACTTAATTTTCAGAGAAATCCGGGCCCCTTTAAAAAAACCGGGTTCGGGAGAAAACACCATCTTCTCGACGGGCCTGCAGGCCAATTCTGGCTAAGATAGTTGAAAATTGTTTGTAAGACAACTGAAAGACCGTAGGCAAGATGGTTTGAAAGATTTAGTTTATTCTGGCACGAAAGACTTACACAAAAAAGCTCTCCTGCCAACTTCTATGGTGAATAGATATTTTGATACAAAAAGCACTTGAGCATCTTCCAAATGCAGATGTATGTATGTATAACATTCTGCTTGCGCTGCTCCAACAGTGGCAATAGCCGAGTGAGCAAAGCACTGGCATGCCATTCGAGAGATCCGAGGTTCGAATGCTCGGACAGCGCGATTTATTTCTTTTTTCGTAATTCCCTTTTTTTATTTTTTTAAATTACTATTCTTTTAATGTTTACATTTTATTATATGTATTTTTTAATTTCATTTGATTTTTAGAAACTTATTTTATGTATTTTTTTCAGCTGAATTCTTGTTTTCCTTTTTTTAATCGATTTTTTTTTAATTTAAAATTTTATTGTTTTAAAAAGTGATATACTTTTTCTAAATTTCATATAATTTTAGAAACTAATTTTATTTAGTTTTTCTTTTCATTAATTTAATTTTCTGTTTCCATAAAATTTTTTACTTATTATTTATTTTAATATCATTTATTTCCTTGATATTTCTGAAAACTTATTGCTAAAAGACAAGCAGAATAATGCTAAGACCTTGTCGTTAGCAGATTGTGGTGAGTTGTCAGACAGTTGTCCGAATTGCCCTGTTAGGATATGTCGATCATTGGTGCCTAGCATACTGCTGCTTCGAAAATGTCCTTTTAAAGTTTGTATCCTTCAATAGGATATTCAAAAGCTTAAAACTCTGTTATCGCAGAAGTAAAAGTCCTTAGCCAAAGGTTCAACTTGAAGTATGCCGGAGCTGTCGTCATACATGTTACAGCTACAATAAAACTGCATGCCTACATACATACGATCTGCATATCGAATTTTGCAAAAAAAAAAAAAAACTGAGGCACTTCTATGTACAAGTACATAATATGTACATCTATAATTATATAGTATAGCCACTTGTGGTGAAAATTATGCGTAGAAAATTGCAAACCCCTTTAGCAAAAATTGTTTAACTTACAATCAAATGGGATCTCCTTATGTCGTCGGTGTCCATATCTAATATTTCATCTATATCCACATCGATAGCCTCACTCTGCAAGAATATAAAAACAAAAACAAAAAAAAAACATGAAAATTTACCATAATAATTGTTGTTAGCAGCAACATAATCAGAGCTACACATCTCCAAATGCAAACTCGCTCTTTCTCTCAAATCTCGTTCTTTCAACTTACCGGTGGATCAAAGAGTTTCTGCAGTTCATCATACAGCCACATCTCAACCGCTAAGCGTTTACGTATCAGGCTCATCTGATGTGAACCATATTTGGCGGTGAGGAACTTTTCGCGTCGCTCCTTCACCTCAGCACCCTTCTCGTTGAAGTTGACGCGGAGATTGGTCCGGTTCGGCGAGCGTTCGCAGTCGTTCATTTGCTCTAGGCCGCACTGCATTTTGTGTGGGTATGTGTGGGTATGTGTGTTGTACGTTTAGTTGTTGCCTCCTACTATTTTTGAGAGTAAAGCCTGATGTGCTGTGCCGTTTCCGTGGCAGCTGTTGCTCTTGATTGCTTGGACTTCAATTCTGTTCAGACTTATATGTCAAATTAATTAGTGTGGGCGGTTGATTGATAGTTGGCTATCGTAAAGCCGTTATTTTTTTCTTCAGCCCTCAATTAACTGGCGATCTGTAAATTAATCAAAGAAAAAATATTAATTCAATCAACATTCACCCTTTTGTTTAACATTTTCTTTGAGTTAAATTTGAATTTAATGAAATAATTATTGCAACTTTAACAATTAACTTTCAATCCTCTGCTGTCGCGTTCTTGGCGAGTGTGTGTCATTACTTGGTTAAGGTGCCCAACCAAGTCATTGCCTTGAGGCATACATACGCTCATGATATTTGCGTTCTTCACGCTGCATAAACTTGCATACATACATATGGATGTACATATCCATGCCATGCCACACATTTCCATAAACCAGTTGCTTTCTTTTGTAATGGTCACGTGACTCAGTACATTTGGTATTCCGTATTGGCCTGAGTATCTTTCGATGCGATCACTTTTTGCGGTTTTGGCATTTGTTTTTCGACTTTTGTGGACTGTAATGAATCTGAAAAAGTTCAGTGAATACACATTGGGGATGACTAACGCAGTAGGACTTTTTCTTGGCCATCTGGCACGATTCCCTAGTAAGGAGTTATAGTTTTTAAATTGCCCATTATTTAAATCCTTCGGCCGTAGTGCTCTAAAGTTTGGCATTCGCATACTATACCTAGTTTTACCATAATAGATATAAAACACAATGATTAATTTATGAATCGTACATACTAGGGCTGGGAGTTCTATCTAGATTTTTTTGAGTATTCGGATAATCCGGATATTCGAATATGGGCAAATCTGAGAAATAGAAACCGAAAAACGAAAAAAATGTGTTACATTTGTTAATTTCTCTTCAAAGTATTATTGTAGATTGTGTTGTACATAAATGAAAATTTGCAGAAATCTGTTGACTTTGATGACCATTTCAATATCGCTTCCGTTTTAAGTAACGTCCGAACACATAGTTAGAGGCCAAATACACCCTCAGAACTATAAAGGGCCATTCTATATTGAATGGTTGGACATTTTACTAAATAATGTGATCAATGCTGAATTCTAACTATGTCGCGCAACAGCAAAAGCTATTTAAATATTAACATAGAAGGATAATTAATGCATAAAATTCATTAAAAAAATACCAAACGATTTCTTAGTTCTATGCAACTATCATTTGAATGAATGTGACTATATTTTAACTATGTGCCCTCAAAGATGAATTTTAGCCACACTTAATTTTCAAGAAAGATGTTCTTGTGTTGTAAAATTAAATGCTTTCGTTTTCAATAAAATTTACAAAAATTATATAATCTTTATAGAAATATTAAAAAATATTTAAAATTGTGTACAGTAATTATGTATGAAGTAAAAGTTTCCATTGGCAAAAATTATAGCTTCTATTTATCTTTTTATTTATTTTTCAACTGATTAATGAAATGTTGAATTATAAACGAACCACATATTGAACAGTTTTAACAATTTTTTTTTTTGGTATTTGATTTTAGTTATTTTTTCGTAAAGATTTAGTTTACTCTTTAACAAAAAATTCTAGAAATCAAAGATTAAAATTTTGTGAAGTATTCAAAAAAAATTCAATAAATTTTGGTAAAAATTTTAAGCATTTCAGTTTGATGTCTTAGAAAGATTTTGAGTATACAGTTTTGTAGTCCAATCATCTTTATTAGAATAAAGTGCAGTTAGCTAGGACTTACCGTTGATTTTGCCAATTTTTCTCAGACTGTGTTGGGCATTTTCTTCAATTCAAAGGGCGATTTTCTTTAATTGGTGAAATTGAGCGCGTTTTGCAACAAAAAATTCCAAAAATAATAACAATATCGTGAAAAGGTAACTTTTTCATTTAAAAATGCGCAGGCTCGAAACTCATTTCTGACCCATGGTTCTTCTATACTTTCGCTTAGAATTAATGTGCAGAATCAGACGATACCATACGATTTAGTAAAGAACAATTGACCCACCCTAATTGTACATATATGATTTTTTATGTGACATGTGAAGAGGCATATGTATAAACGAAAAAAAGCTTTAGAAAACAATTTTTGATTGCAGTCATAATACGATTGACATAGAATTTTCCAGTACAAATTTTTGTTCTCGAAGTTGCCTGTGGGAAAATTTTGTGACAAAAATTTAATTTTTATTATCATTCCTCATCCTCTCCTCTTACGTACGCAGGTATAATTAATTTAAAAAAGGCATATGCCTAATATACATATACATAGACAGTTACATACATACATACAAATGTACATTGTAAATATTTTACATCAAGCATTGTGAGAACAAAGCTTAAAATACATCGCTTTTTATTAAAATCATTAATATTAATTAAGCTAATAAACGAGTAGAGCTGATATTTTAATATTTTCCGTTAGGTTTTAATTAATAACACTTTTCATCGGCATATCTGTGCTCCAAGACACGTTGTTCTATAATCCCTTTAATAAATTATTTTTTCTCAAGGCACTAAATACTCCCTAGGCCATTAATGACTTGAATTTTCCCAAGAAACCTTTACCTGACAAAGCTTAAAACTACAGTGCATATATATATATGTATGTAGTTATATGCAGCTCTAATTATTGGAAAATCGTTGCCAACATTTGCGGAAACTCTTTCCCTGGTTTCTTTTTTTATTTAAATTCTTTGCTATGAACAAATTTTCTGGTCGCTTCAGGCTCACCACTCACCACTCACCAACGCCAAAGCAGCTGAGCTTATGGTGGGCGTTTACCAGCCATCAACAGAGACCACAATCTACTTGTAGATGGCAGCATACAACTTGCACTTTGTCATGTTGTTGCCACACACTCTCTTCCAGCGCGAATTGCTAATATCGCGCGATAAGTGCAAATATTGAGGCAAAAATGAGCTATCCACCATCCCCACCGCATGGATGCGGTATGTACCCAGGGGTTTGATTGCTTGCCGCTCAGGCTAAGTGGCGTTGCGTTGATGTCTTAGTTTGCATAAATTTAAGCCGCAACTGCAATTAGTGGTCATAAACAAGCAAAAAGCTGTTGGTAGCAAACATAAACAGTGCTGCTGCTGCTTTACTCACGATGGTGCACAAGTGGGCTGGCTAAGATTTTAAAGTCTTCGGCGTTGTTTTTATTGTACATTTCTTTCTATCGATAAGAGAAGCACAAGTTTTCTATAGCAACCTGACGAAAAAAGTGTGTTTTATTTACAGGTAGCTATGTATGTATGTATGTATGTATGTACATATGTAAGTGTGTACGCCTGCGTGTGTGTTTTCGCTCCGCATAAAATCCATATGTTGCTGATGTAGTGGGGCCAAAAACGTCAACAACTAAGAATGCAATACCCGACAACAATCACAGCGGTAAGAAAAAC